ACAATTGTGATTGCTCATCGTTTGAGTACAATACGAAATGCTGATTTGATTATTGGTTTGGAACGTGGCTGTGTCGTCGAAAGTGGAACTTACGATGATTTAATGGAATATAAAGGTCTTTACTATGAATTAGTGACAGCTCAAATGCAAAAAGAAAAAGAAAAAGAAGTTGATCCAGACATTGATAAAGAAGATGATGAAGTGGAAAGAGAATTTGTTCGAGAACGATCATGTTCGTACTCCTTCTACAATGTTATTTTTTTGAAATTCATTTAATATACTATTGACTTTAGTTCATAAGATTCATTCAAAACAATCTATTGCCTCAAATGACGATTTTGATGAGAATGATAAAGAAGATGATAAAACAGCATCCGATGCTCAAAAGAAAAAAAAGAAGCGTAGTCGTACTCCATTTGTATTTCAAATATTCAAACTTAATGCTCCAGAATGGCCTTGGATTCTTATGGGTGCAGTTTTCTCTCTTATCTTTGGTGCTATTCAACCCATTTTTGCACTGTTCTTTGCACAAATCTATGGTCTATTTGGCGAACCAGATCTTAAGAAACAAGAACATTTAACAAGTGTTTATGCTGGACTTATATTTCTTATTGGTTTTGTTGGAGGAGTTGCTCAATTTCTGAGTAATCTTGGGTTCGCAAAGTCAGGCGAAGAATTAACTTTACGTATGCGAAAATTAACATTTTCTGCTATAATTCGACAAGAAATCGGTTATTTCGATTATGAGACAAATTCAGTTGGTGCTCTTGTCACACGTCTATCATCTGATGCAGCTGCTTTGAAGGTAACCATATTTAACAAGGACAATTGACCAATTGATTGTTCGTTTTTGAGTTAGGACGATTTTCATAATATAGAACCTAATGACCTATCAAAAGTCTAAAAAAATTTCGAGCTCATAGAGCTTATTTCTTCGGACTTTAGGCATTCATAGGGCTTTTTCAACTCCTTGCATTGAATCTCTTGAATAAACAGAAAAAAAACAATTTTCCAACTTCGACTGGAAACTTTCCATGAAGGCAAGCTTTAGCTAGATTACGCTCGTAAAAATCACTAGATATGGTGGCCTTACTTTATGATGGTAGTAAATCAATAGGCCTAGAACTTTAAAAAATAAACTATGCTCGTTCAAGTTTTTCTTTATGAAAAGTTTCAGGTTGAAATTTGAAAATAAGTTTTCATGCTCTTTCTTTGAGAGCACTATAGATGGCATTCACTTGAAAGAGAACCATAAACATGCAGTATCTGCACAACAATAAACTAAAGGTTTGTATTTTATTCAGAGTATTTATAGCTGATTAGAATCTACACCACAGAAATAGTCGGAATTCAAAAACAATCTATCAGTTAGGGACCTTGTTTATAAGCTTGAATTTTTCCGATACATGATAAGACATTTTTAAGGGTATGACTGGCGTTCGTGTTGGCATCATAGTTCAAGCATTAGGCGCTGTGATAACGGCTCTCATTATTTCATTTATGGCTGGATGGAAACTAACATTTGTTGTGCTCTGCTTTGTCCCTCTACTGATGTTTGCTGGAAAAATGCAAGGGAAAAAACAAAGTAACACTGGCAAATCAAAAAGCAAAGACTCATTCACTGAACTAGGCGGACAGGTATAAAGAAATAATATGATGGTTTTATCATTTTTTTATTTGATAATCTTTTTATGTGTAGTATGCTACACAAGCTATAGAACAAATTCGAACAGTTGTTGCTCTTCATCAAGAAAAGCATTTTATTGATTTATATGAAAATGCATTCAATCAAGAATTCAAGTATGCGTCTTTATTATGTTTTTTTTTCTATTTAACCCATCCTATAAACGGTGTTCCTATGTAGGAAGCAAAAGTGTCAGCTGCATCTAGTTGGTTTAGGTGCTGCAATTGCGAATTCAATCATGTATTTTCTTCATAGTGCTGCTTTTTCATATGGTAGTAAACTTGTTGATAATCATGAAATGACATTTGACAATGTGTTCAGGTAAAGGTTGTTTTATGATACTCATATAATGGTATACACAAGTTATTCATTAGGGTATTTGTTGTTATTACTTTTGCTATGATGACCGTTGGTCGTTCGATGGCTATGATTCCTGGTTATTCGAAAGCACAACAAGCAGCATTACGAATCATGAAACTTAATAAACGGCAATCACAAATTAATCCATATGATGAATCAGGCATCATTTTGGTATATATATATATATATTTATTTGAATAATCTATTTCCACAACATTCAGTCTCTATTCTATGTTTAGAAAGAAGTCATAGGCAATATTGAATTTGATGATGTTTATTTTCGATATCCAACTCGACCTACTCTTCGTATTCTTAGAAATTTTTCATTAAAATGTTTAAGTAGTAGTACAACAGCACTTGTTGGACCGTCAGGCAGTGGAAAATCAACAACTATTGCATTATTGCAACGATTCTATGATCCATTGAAAGGAAAAATTTTACTCGATGGACATGATATACAAGTTCTTAATATTCGATGGCTTCGATCAATAATGGGTCTTGTTCAACAAGAACCTGTTCTATTTAATTTGTCTATTCGTGATAATATTGCTTATGGTGATAGTAGTCGAGAAGTAACACAAGATGAAATTGAAAGAGTTGCAAGAACGGCTAATATTCATGAGTTAATTAAATCATTACCTCAAGTTGGCTTTCTTTGTTTATCTTTTCGTATATGTTTGATCTCATATTTTGGTATTGTAGGGCTATGAAACATCATGCGGAGCAAAAGGTAGTCAATTATCTGGTGGACAAAAACAACGAAGTGAATAAATTTTGTTGATGTAATATTGAATAAATAAATATGTAATATTTTAGTTGCTATTGCTCGAGCATTAATTCGTTCACCAAAAATTCTTCTTCTTGATGAAGCAACATCAGCATTAGATAATAAAAGTGAAAAAGTTGTTCAAGCAGCATTAGATAAAGCTAGAACTGGTCGAACATGTCTGAGTATTGCTCATCGTCTTTCAACAATTCAAAATTCAGAAAAGATTGCTGTGGTTGATCGAGGCAAAATGAAAGAAGAGGTAAATACAATTTTTTTACTTTTTTTAGTAAAAAAAACAAACATTTATTTAATTCTTTAATTAGGGCACACATGATGAACTCTTGAGATTAAATGGAATTTATGCCAAATTAGCATCAGCGCAAAAACGGACCACTTGATGAAAAAATACAGATGCAGAAAACATGATTCTTTTCGATCAACAAAATGACTAATATCAAAAATATGTAATTGATTAAAATCCTGTATCGAACAATTGATTGTATTATTTATGTGGTCGTAGTAAAGTATAGTATTGTATTTTAATTCTAAAAGTCGTCTGTATAAAGTTTTGTAAATTTACATAATAAACCATTACTGATTTAACGTCTTAGTTCGTCAATAAAAGTAGCAAAAGCAAGTAAACTTATATTAATAATTATCACGCAGATTCTTCCAAAGAATCTTTGTCAAAAAATTGAGAACAAAAATACAAATTCTTCAGAATCATCGTAACTTATACGTTAATGTAAAGAATTGACAGTGTTTTGTTATCGAAGAAAAACCTGTCTTTAATATCTGTTCACAATATTCTTCAAAATTTGTGATTACATATACAAAAATGTAAATATTTCATTGATTCCTTGTAAAGCAAGAATATCGTTCAATAACTTCCTAAAGTTAACTCGTGTCATGTCTTTGTTTCAAAGGTATTTGATATTTTTGATAACAGGCAATTTTTGAAACAGTTTCAAATAGAACTATACTTGTTGTTTATAGGACGTATGTTAATATATGTAAGATCAAGTATGACGTCTTATTATGTTAGTGAAATTAATTAGACATATGTATCGATATCAGAGATGTCCATCGCGCCGCTGCCGCGCCGCTGCCGCTGCCGCGGTGGCGGTGGCGGCGCGGCAGCGGCAGGTTTTTAAAAAAAATCACCGCGGCAGCGGCGCGGTAGCGGCAGATTTTTTTAAAAGTCATCGCGGCAGCGGCGCGGTAGCGGCAGGTTTTTTAAAAAACCATCGCGGCAGCGGCAGGATTTTTTTGGAGGACATTGAAAAACTGTATGAATTTAATAGAATTTCACGATTTACAAATGAAACGCCCTGATATTGAATAAATCTGATGGACTAGTACCCATATCTCTGGTCAAATATAGTCACAGCAGTGAAATTAGAAACACTTTTTTGAAAATCGTCGCGGCAGCGGCGCGGTGGCGGCACGTTTATTTTATAATTCATCGCGGCAGCGGCGCGGCAGCGTTTCTTTTATAAGTCATCGCGGTGCGGCAGCGTCGCGGCAACATTTTTTTATAAACCGCCGCGGCGCGGCAGCGGTGCGGCAGCTTTTTTTTTCTAAGGCCGCGGCGCGGCAGCGGCAGATTTTCAGCCGCGATGGACATCTCTGATCGATATATCAAAATTTGCATTAATATCAAAGAGCAAACATAAGAGCATGTCCCTACCTTATACTGGAAAGTGGTCTGATTGTTAAGATGTTTTGAACAATAAAAATATAATCTTTTATTTGAAAACGAATAAAAAATATAAGGATTTACATTTCAAAGAAAATTCTAGCACTATTTTTTCGTTGAAAAAAACACAAAGCATAGTTACATCATGTTTGTTTGGTGAAAAATAAGCCAATATATACATTTTCTTACACTGATCGATCCAAATGACTCAACTGGTCCAATTTCGCTAGACCGGTGACAGGTCTGGTACGATTACTAAATAATGTTCATCAATTCAATCCCATCTTTGTTGCAGAGCAATATATCTTTTTGTATGACTGCATCATTCTTCGAGCTGTCCGATAAAGAAGAGCCAATAAACTGCTGCGCTCTGTGATGGTGGTAGCTAATATGGGTTTAACAAGACATTGATGCTCATGAATACTGTGTGTTCTTCGTTGCAATTCATTGCTCCAAATTTTCTGAAAACACAACAAACTTATTCATCACTAACTATGAAAACCTACATTTTAATCTAATTGAACATTGACAAGAACTTCTTTGTACATGAACAACAATGTAAGAATAATATTATGACTTTTTAAAAGATTAGGTTTTATTTTAATTTATTTCTTACAAATTTAGATGGTAAGTACCCGAATGTGATTAGAGTATGAAGCTCTATTAGATTTGGTAAATGTTTCATCCCTTACGAGAATTAAAAATTTTGAACATCCCAGTATCCTTTCAGTGACTCGAAAATGAGTATTTTTTGTTATTTTTGGAAGATTAATCTACGTGTCAAACAGTGGTATATGATGGATGAACTTATTATTAATAAATGGAAATTTTTTCACTCAAAAAGTATTTATAACAAAACTCCTATACTTGTCCGCCCTTAAGAATCTGGAAATTGACCTTTTCTGTAGACATTGTTTGGCCGATTGCACCATGATACACTTAAATTCAGAGGAGAATCAATTAGTATACTTAAAGATCTTGTTAGCATTCAACATTTGAGGAAGTTCTACGGATGATGATCTTTGTTCTCAGGAGCGATATCGAAAAATTTTAAATATGATCAAGACCAAAAATTATAGGAGCTAGAAAGATTTGTAAGATTTTTAGGATACGAAGAACGATATTATGGGTACTATTAGATATATAAGATTGGAGACCAGACACAACTCTATCGAAATCGCTTCAAACAAAATTTGATATAAATTGGTTTAAAGACATACTGAGTTCTAAAATTTGATCATATCATTTTTCTTTCCTTTTGTCTGTGCTCATAGTATTCTGTTATAATCTACATAGTAACACGAGAGTTGGTAAAAACCATAGCATTTCTAGGTGGACCAAAGTCAGTGAATAATCGCATTTGTGATATTGTTATTGTCATAGTTGAATCACTGGAAACAAGCAAAAAAATAATTATTATTAAAAGATGAATTTATCGAAAAAATATACGAATGACTGTAAATCTTAGACCAAGATTATAGTATTTTTGTTCAAGTGTCTGATTTCATAGAATGTTAATATTTAAAAGTTTTATGATTGATAATAAATGTAAGGACTAAAAACAATCGCGTATTTTTCTCTAGCAGAAAGAGATAATGGTCTATGAAGCTAGAAGGACCTAATGTTTGTTCGTTTATGTGTTCCTTACACAGGACGAAAATAATTATCGTTTATATACATATACGCGCATGATTGGTTACACAACGAAAGAAAGTCCCTGTGTTCAACTTAGGATATGTTGTAAAGAGAAGAGTTTATGAATTTTGACTCAAGTCATTTTATAAAATGTCGAGCTTTTCCTTTTTATGAATGTTTTACAAAAATTCCTAAAAATGAGCGTTTCAACAGACGAGCTCTTTGAGTGTAGGTAAATGTAAAGAATACCCATACTAATGAGATACACACCTTTATACCGTGTAAACATCACAGTTGAAGTTTTCATTACTATGGAAATTACTTTCTATCATCGACTCAAAAGCATTAGAATACTGTTAAAGTATTCATCTAAATGATGTTAAGATATAAGCTTTTTAGATACTTTTATTAAAATATGCTTTGAATTATTAAAATAATATCAACAAAATCTCTTTAGTCAGATGGTTTTTTATATAATAAGAATAAATCTCAAGTACTCTTCATGAACTGTCACAAGGAAAGGAATAATGTTTGTTATTGAGTAAAAGAACACATTAGTTATATCTATTGACAAAATAAACTAAGGAACAGTTAAGTAACAAAAAAATGAATGAACATTTTTCTAACGAAAAACTAAATAAGTTTTTCTCGTTGAAAGGGAGAAACAGTCTTTTTTAATAATTTTTGCAGTTCAAATGGTTTATTTATTTGACCATCATACAACTTGTCATTGATCATATTCTGTTGCCAAGTATCATTCCAATATAATGAAAACCACGAAAAAAACCAGCGATTTATCGCTAAAAGTTATTCATTTTTACTGACGTGGATTGAGTTGCATCATTTTAAGATTAATATCGTATTGCTTCCACAAAAAAAGAAAAAAATAGAAAGTTGATCGTTTTAAAATTTTAGACAGTCATAATAAGGAATAAGATAATAACAATTTTTCTAGCTTGCTTAATATAAGAATCACTTTTTCCTTCTACTTGAACGAAATGATTTGATATTTCATCTTCATCCTTTGCAACAGAAAGACAAATCAATAAAATAATATTGTTTTGATCTTATTACTCGATATTATGTTCTCCTATTAGCGTTTATTTTAGGGGCGAAATATAGATTTGTACATGTAGAACATAGACTTATGTAATGTTTTTTTAAATCAAAGTATCAGACCCAAGTGATCTACTGACTGATGTGAATGGATCACTTCATCATGTCTAAACAGAATCCACCAATGCACTTGTTGAGACCATCTTAGAAATGAGCCCTTTAAAAAACTAATTACACAGAAAAATTAGGCAAAGCTTATAATATTTTTATATAATATTTTCATTCTGGCCATTTTTCATTTTGTAATTATCTTGATACTATTAATTAACGACATCATCGGTACATCCATTGACATCTTCACACGTTTCAGTAATTTCGTGACGTTTCTATGACTAACCTCCATTATGGAAGCAATATATAGTGTCATCTATTCGTTTTCCTAAAAATGGCCAGCATAATATTTATCGGGCATTAGTACCCATATTATGCTGATTCTAAATATATATAAATCTTAACATCTGGCTAATTTCTAAAAAAAAATATTTACACATTGCATTTAGAAATAACCAGTGAAAGATAAGCGCATTCATTTCATCAGTCAGTCGATCGATCAAAGTATGTCAGAGGGCATATATTTATAATATCAAAAGAAAAAGAGAAAAAGATAAAAACAACAGAATGAATGAATGACCATATATAATGGTATAGATGGCATATCATAACACATGAAATTTGTTTATTTTCTGTGGAGCATATTGCATTGCTCTTCTCTTTGCTAATAACTAGACCTAGCACAGTTCCCAGTTCTATGAACTGTATATTTTCTAAGAACTGGGTATAGCGACCAGTTCTTTTTCGAGAACTGGTTAAAGTGACCAGTTCTTTGACGAGAACTGTGTACACCCGGCAGTTCTTTTTTAAGAACTGTACACATCCGGCAGTTCTTTTTCGAGAACTGGCTATTGTAACCAGTTATTTTTCAAAGAACTGGATTAAGCGTCCGATTCTTTTTCAAAAACTGACTATTGTAACCATTTTCAAAGAACTGGTTGAACAGATCAGTTCCTATCAAAGAACTGTTTGAACAGTTCTCAAGAGCGGAACTGATATGAAACTGTCCTAGGTCTACTAGTAACAATTTGAATTCTTCTTGATGTTTATTCAGTGAAAATATTCTACCCATGTTATTTTGTTTTTTTCCGATTCTATATACTTACAATTAGTGCATAAATATAATGATTATTATCTATCAAAAAGAGATTGAATAAGATTAGTTTTGGAAAAAGAAAATTTTCTTGTTCTTTTCTATAGATGAACAGACCGTTCGTTTGCCTATTTTACAAATTCACGGTCATGAAATCAGTGAAAATGAGAGAAGTTGGAAGTCTCCTGAATAGAGCGTTATTAATTTCGTCTGAGTTCTGCAGTGTTCATGTTTGGCAAAGCCGGCGTCGTGCTGTCAATCTTATCGCTATAGTCTTCATGTCTCCCTCGGAAAGATTGAGTGAAATAGTTAGTCTTAGTTCTGTTGTTTTCCTGTATTTCAAACTCATAATCATGAAAATCAGTCTTAGTCATTGAGTCTTCATGTGTTTTTTTGAGCAAGACTTGTAAAGTCAATCTTGTGTCTTGAAGTCTGAACAACTCTCAAAGCTACCAACATGAAGTCATTTAAAGTTTTTTAATGTTCATATCTGTCAAAGCCATGGTCATGAAGTCAATGACTGTCATTAGGTCGTAAATCCTATCGAACTCAGAGTCATGAAGTAAAGTGGAATTCTACAGTAATGAAAGCTTTTTGTGCATTGAAGTGAAAGTTTTTAAGGCAGCGCGACTTCTCGTGTCCGTATCACTGTCGAAAGTGGAGTGTTGATGCCATTTAGAGTCTTCATGTCTTTAGTTTCGTTATCGTTGAAGTATAGTTTTCGTGTTCCTGTTCTTTTTTCGAATCTCTTACCGAATCAGTTGAGGAAAACTATAGCCTGCAGTACGAAGAAATAAATATCTACCATTTTTCAGAATGTTTCCAAGATATTTTACTTTGTTTATGCATTCAAAAAGACGATTCATGAAAATGTCAATTTATTTTTGAAACGATACGTCATGACTATCTCTACAATAGATGCAGGCAGGAATTCTTATGACTTGTGTTAATAGATTTGGAAAGAGCTAAAAGGAAAGGTGTGTATAAGATTCTATGATTTCTCACTGCTCAGAATTTTTTTCCTCAGCTAAACAAGAGTTAAATTTTTCAGATATTTCATTCTTTCTGACTACTTTCGAACATCAAGATACTTAATTCATTTAGATGATGGTATTCAGAAATGTGTTTTTGTACATTTAATTTGATTTTGGATAGTAAATATGTTTGTTAAAATGTTTCCATCGATATCAAAGTAAGAAACTACAACATCTAATACATATTTGCTTTTAGCTTTCTTCAAATCTACTAGCACAACTCAAGAGAATCTTTCTTTTGACTATTGTGTAAAATATCAGGTCCCATGATTTGAAAAATTTTTGATTTTATCATTTACGTTTGTGAAGATATATGGAGAACAAATGATGTTGCAAACATTCCGAGACACTAGATATTTGTTTTACACTCTCTTGCAAATGCAGATTTCTTCATATTTTCCATCATTCCTATCCAATCACTCTTCCGTATAAGTCGGTTGAAACGATCATCAGACGGTTGAAACTTGCACTATATTTCGTTTCAATCCGTTCATAAGGATGATAATGCTTGTACTTAAATGAAACATATGTGAATGAAGAAGCAGAAAGACGAAATTTTTTTAATGACCTGACGATTTAGTGCAGCTCTTCGATCTTCTCAGCAAAACTTTTCATAATTCAGTCACGTTTTTAGGTAGTGAAAGAAGTAAAAACGAGCCGAAATTTTCTCGGAAACAAAGTAGTCTTTTGAATTCTCAGGTTCTAATGATTTTACACAACTATTTCGCAGAAATTGAATGAGGTTTGTACTATGCATGTCGAGAAATTTCTAAATCTCTAAAATAAAGATGTGAACATGAGAATTAAAAAGAAGATATCCGAATATTATTTCGGTGTTTCAGAATACTAGATAGGTTTCTGACACTTTTTCTCGTAAAAACAGGAGTTTTGTAATGATTTGAAAATCCTACAGGGTTTTTCAGATATGTTCGGAAATCATGCTTGATTTCTTGGAAACGCTTCCATCGTTTTCAATGCCCGTGAACCCAAAATGGTTTAATATTACGAAACAATACGGACAATAAACGCTAGTAAAGTAGTAGTTTTTTGATCGTTTACTGACGAAAAGCGGATCGTAACCATATCCCGTTTTGATCCGCCTGGGTAACATAGAGTTATAAAAAGAAAAGTTTTGTAAACGATATAATTGTACGAACTCTCTTGGATGGTTTTTTTATATTGATATTGATGATTAATTGATTGGAATCGACTTGATATCGAAAAGAAACTTATTATTCTATCATTTCTTACTGTAATTGTCTGAAATTTTATAATTAACTTTAATATTTTTTTTATAGGCACTCCAACAATACATCTCAAACTTATAGCAACTCAATCGCTCCTGGGAGCGAAATCTGATAACAACAGAAACTTAGCTAGATCAATTGCAGAGATTAGATAAAGAACAACAATCATTACAAACAAAATGATTCGTGTATTTGAAGAGAAAAAAACTTTATTTATAAAACAAAAATTGTTACTTTTCCCCTTGTTATCTGATCCTTGATTGTTTTTTTACTATGTTTAATTGATATGAATTTTGTTTTTAGCTAATAGGAGACATTTTTTTCTTGAAAAAGTTCATGGAAAGAACATAACATTTTTTAGTATATAGAGAAAACTAAAGCTTAACATATTTTCTTTTTCATATTAGAATCTCCTAAAACTTAAAATGGAAATACTTTGTGTTGTTAGTGAATCAGGCTAGACATATTCAGATCCAATTAAAGCGTTCATTGCTAAACTAGCAAACTCAAAATATAATCAATAGAGATCCACAAACCACCGAGTTACACTGCCTTGCCATGGGGCGAGGCGAATATGAAACAATGTGAGATGTGGTGGTTCGTTCCGACTTTTTAAGATACGGTTTTGGTCAAATAAATATCAATACTCTAATGACATTTATCAATTTATTTTAGATTTTTTTTTAGTATGATCATTGTGATTAAAGACAAGGATACCTGGATACATATATATTTATATATATATGTGTTTGGTTTAGTCTTCTATTTTCATTTCTATAATTGGTAGTACATACAGGTCTTGCTCTGCAAGTCATTTAAGTAATTTACGGTTTAAAATTCATTATAGATAGGTAACATGTATGCACTAAGTCCGGACATTCCTTCACGTGATATCATGGATACAATACAAGCTATTTGTTCAATTGTTCAAGATGGTCATCATAGTTCGTCAAGTTCTTCTGAGATGACCTGTAACAAGATTCACACTTTACTCACGCGTAAATAGGTCATTGGCAAGGCGGTGACAAAACGATTTTTCAGCCGCTCCGCACATTTCTGATAGACAACGCCTAGCGTGTATTGATTGAAATATTCGAATGTTAAGATATTTACAGTACATGTAAGATGCTCAGAAATCAAAATTTCAGTAGAATTTATTTTTGTGATGACTAGATAGAACTCATTCTGTTGTGTCGGCAAAACTATGGCTCAAAGAAAAAGAAATATTTCGCGCAAAACTTTCAAGACACCTTGATTTTGAAATATACTCAAAACAAAGTATACAAAATCTGTGTACAATTCGTTTAGCATCATATTTCTTCGCATTGTATTTGGAGCAATAGAGCCGTTTACGGTAAAATCTGTAGTAAAAATGAGATCGAATACGATCTTCATATACGGACTCTGTAAATGATCGTATTTCTGTGTATAGAATATGGAGTCATGTAATACGCACAAAAACTAGGACTTACAGTCGTTTACCAGAATGCTTGTTCGACCGAGGTAATAGAAAATAGACTTAAGATTGTGACTTTTACAGGCAATTGTTTTAGGATTTGAAGCATACTTGTTCTTATGCAACTCGATAGACTCACTCCAATCATTACGAAAAACCTCAGCTGAAATATTGAATCACTAGTATTTTACATACACTGTAGATATCTTGACATTCAGATGTATTGGTAGGGGCATTTTATCTGATAAATTTGTAAGATTGTCGGTACAAGTTTTAATTTGACCTAGGTATGATGTCTAGCCGTATTCATTAAAAACAGAAACACATCCATGCTTAAAAATAAAACACAGAAACAGAGAGTTTTCGTTTTTTTAAGTTTATTTTTTGTTTTCATAATAGTGTGTAATAGACAATCCATTTTTTATTTGATATATTATTCTGTCATATTTTTAGAGAAACGATTCTAATAGTGAGAATATTTAAACCTGTTGATTCTAATGCTGTAGTTACTGTGAGACAGCTAATTCAACATTATTCAAATAAGATACATCCATAATATGTGATGTTTTCATATGGAAAAGTTTCAAATAAAATTATGAAAAATTCTTATAATTCGAATGTCAAGGATAAATAACTGTTTAATATCGTGTCATAAGGTTATTGTCAGTTCTTATTATTACATTTTTTTTGTCCTTATGCGCATTGTTTTGGTGTTTGCGAATAGAAACTTAAGTCATCATAGTGCGTATCTCGTCCGAAAACGTACCTTTCGAATACTGATATACATTTTTTCGTATCTAAAAAAATTATGATGGTTTCATTTTTATGAGTCTCTATTATATGTCTTATCAGCTCGAAAGAATCAGAATACAAAGCACTTAAATCTCTTTTTCGTTTTTATTCTTTGTTTTACAGGTAAGCATTGAAAACAAGTTTTTCACTTAAAATCATCATACATATTTTTAACAGGCTGATAGATGCATCTTTAAAACAAGTTACCCTATGAATTAAATATGTCATTTATTTTTAAAAAGAGAAAAGAAGGTTGGACTATCAATCATAATAGTATTAATAATACAGATCAGAAAATTTCTTACTTCAAGACAGAAAACGGCTTATCAAAATCAGAAATACCATCAAACAACGACAAATTTCAGTAAGTATCTGATTAGTCAACAGCGTCATCTTTTGATGAATTAAGAAACAGATAGGTTTTTTACTATTGTTACTAAATGAAAATTTATACTGTCTTTGACCGATCTAAAAAAATATTAATCCTTATATTCTTAATCATTTTGTAGTAGAACGAAATATGATATATATAGGAAAACCCTCTTCTCACGTGTTTATCGATTGTAACCAATGACTTTTCAGTGCGAAAAAAACAGTCATCAGCTGGCACTTGTCAATATAATAATGAGATAGAATAAGAAACTCTTCGAGTTGTGATCTGAATTTAATGCAATGAGAAAATTAAGAAAATCAAACGCAAATAAAAAAAGGTCTTTTTTTTTATACATTGACATTGGTGTCGTTAATTATACACGTGAGAAGTCTATGGGTTTCTAGGTCTGTACAAACGATTAGTAATGAAGATACTGAATTAAAAAAAAATTTATTCGATGAAAATAATTTTAATGAAATCGACGGAAATTTGGAAAATAATGTTGTCAGTTTTCTCGAACACGAAACTGACGGTAAAACAGAAGAAGATCAGTTTTTGTAAGATTTTTCTTTGAAGAAATTTAATAATTATTTGTAAAAATTTTTTTCTATAGAGGATCTCAAAAGAAAGATGCTAAAAAGCAATCTCCAGCTCGAAGATTAAAACTATTCGAAATTGTAAGTTAATATTCGAGTATTACTATTGATTTTGGAACTCGTATTCTTTTTTTTGTTTTTAGTATAAATTTGCTGATAAACTTGATGTTCTTATTATGTTTATTGGTACTATAGCTTGTATGGGTACTGGGTAAGTATTTTATTAATTTATGATGACAAAAGATATTGTTGTAGCATATAAGTCAATCAATGACGCATTTAAAATTTGACTAGATGAGAATGTTTCAGCAGTAAATGGGAATGATTACTACTATCAAAAAATATTTTTTGAAATTCATTATGGGAATTAGTAGCTGATTTTCGAGCATTTTATGCTGAGAAAAATATTAAAAAAAAACAGTTTTGAAAAAAGTAGATCGCCCTTTCTTGACTCATCTACTACGCAATGCAACATCTTGTAAACAGAAAGACAGAAAAACGGTCAAAGTTCAAATAGTACAATTTTTCTATTTTTAGCGCTGTGTTTCCATTAATGATGTTAGTGTATCGAAGTATGTTTTGTTTTTTTTACAAATAAACTTTATCTTCTATTAAATACAATTAAAGATGTGGCAACATCATTGGTGAAAGCTAGTATTCCTTCAGTTCTACCAAATTTGACATCAATTATTGATATAAATGCAACATGGTTCGATTTTTTAAAATTATTTTTTGGTTTTTATTCAATTGAATATTTTATTTCTATTAATTAGTGCTGTTAAACCAGAAAATTCAACTGCAGATGTTTTATCCGAGCTTCGTGGCATGATTAAATGGTATGGTATACTAGGTTGTGCCAGTATTCTTTGTTATTGGATTGGTTTTTCATTATGGGTATGAGAAGGAAGTATGATATGCAAAATAAATAAATCTATTGAATATAGATGATTGCGGCTGAACGTCAAGTTCGACGAATAAGATTTGCATTATTTCGTTCAATTATGAATCAAGAAATGGGTTGGTTTGATAAACTTAATCCTGGTGAATTAAGTAATCGCTTAGTATCAGATTTGGGTAATAAAGAATCATTTCGATTTCTTTTTTATTTATTATTCATTAATTTCTTCTATAGATAAACTTCGTGATGGTTTAGGAGATAAAAAAGCTGAATTCATTAGTTTAATCTGTCGATTAATCGGTGGTCTTGTATTTGCTTTTGTTACAGGTAGATATAAAAGAAGTTATATATGTATCTATATTTATTAATTATGTTAAAGGATGGAAATTGGCATTAGTATTTATATCACTTAGTCCATTGACCGTTATTGCATTCAACATAACTATGCGAGTTCGTTGATAAATATAGATTGAAAAAAAAAACAAATAAAAAATTAAAACATGGTTTTCTCTATATAGGTCATTGCAAAATATACAGCAAAAGAAATAAAAGCATTTTCAAAAGCAAGTGCTGTGGCACAAGAAGTTCTTGGTTCAATAAGAACTGTAACAGCATTTGGCGGACAAAAAAAAGAAGAACAAAGGTTTAAATAAAATTTGAAAAACATTTTTTCGAAATTTGATATTGATTTAGATTTTCAGAGAATTTACTTGAAGCAAAGCAAATTGGTATAAAAAAAGGTCTTTATATGGGTTTATGTCAAGCAGCTGCTCAAGTAGCAATTTATATATCTTTTGCAATTACATTTTGGTGTAAGTATATAAATACACTATTGAGCAAAAAATAGTGATATCAAGTAAAAGTAACCTAAAACTTGGGCGTTCGAACTGAAAATTTTGTCATAAAACAAGCTCAGTTGGTCCTAATTCTAGATATCAACCCGCACTCATTAGGATAACAAATAATAGAGTTTTGCTTAAAAATCGAATCTTAGCTTTAAATGGACGAAACAATTAAAACTTTTCTTTCGTTTTTTTGACATAAATATTTGTTTCGGATTAAGACTGCGACATGTAATGGTTAGAGCCCAGTGGGTTGATGCCGAACTTGAATTCAATTCGATCTGGGTCCCAAAACTTTTGATCCGATGGTCCCCACTCAACAGATTTTGCAGAGGGTTCGTCTGAAAATATGTAGGGTGCACAAGTCACGGCATACAAAAAACCGAAAAAAGTATCTCATATCTTCGGAGCGACTGTCCAGTTCTGATTAGAAAGTTTCAAAATACGGGTTTAAATGGGTTCGAAGATTTTGGATCCAACTAGCTCTAGTAATGAGCCTTGCATTATCGACACCATTCTTCTTTGATAATATCTATTTAACAATACTTATCATTCTCTAATTTCTAGTAAACCTTTCTCAACTATTAACGATTCTTCTGACAAAGCGGTTGAAACCTAACTGAGTTATAGCGAATTTATCTTTAGACGCCAATATATCTGTAGCAAACAATTCTTAAATACAACCATAGTACCCAACAACGCAATGTTGTTTTTGCACAATAGTTTTTACAATAGAAAGACTAGATGTCTAGCTAAGGAATGGGGTTATTCTGCAAAATGAAGATACTCGAATTGTAAAGATTCAGGTATCCATAGGTAAAAATTAGTGTTTGACTCATAACTCCATTATTTGTCATTCAATTGAGTACGAATTGATATTTAGGATCAGAACCGTTTAAGCTCTATTCATAATAAAGTTTCAGCTTCAAAGCTCGGATTTTGGGTTACTGTTAGCTAATAATATAAGTTATTTTAATAATTCAAATATTTCAATTTAGATGGACCATATCTTGTACGAAATGAATGTCAAAATTATGATGCTGGAGCTGTGATCGTTGTATGTATAGAAAACTGTGAAAGAAGAAAAAAAAATATTTATTAGATAATTCTTAGATTTTTGTCTCATGTTTACAATCAACCTTTAGTATTTCCCAAATAGTACCAAATATTCAAGCATTTGCTGAAGCATCTGGTAGTGGTGGTTATGTATTTGATATTATATCACGAGTAATTCTTTATTACATTTTCTTTAGTTTGATGAGTTTTTATTCTTTTATTAGATATCCAAAATTGATGCATTTAAGAACGAAGGTGAAATACCAACGAGCATTGTTGGTGATATTGAACTTCAAAATCTTACATTCACATATCCTGCTCGGCAAGATGTACCGGTTAGATAGAATCAAATTTTATCTTATTTTTTTTATCACATACGAACTAATGATTTTTAGATTTTGAAAAATATAAATATGAAAATTCCATCGGGCAAAACAGTAGCTTTAGTTGGAGCATCAGGATG